TGCCTCGGAGACATGCCACCTGATGCTACAGTCTAGACAGAAAAACACTAAACTCAAGCGTGTATAGCAACAAGAAGAAGAGGAAGAAGCAGGACAACGTCCCACAAAAGACAACCCTGTAGGGATCTTTGATGCAACACAAACGCCATGCACAACTTGGTAAATGCTGATCTCTCGTGGGCCTGTTGCCTTTGTGTTCAACACCAGCCTCCCCCCCGACCAAGATCTATTTCCAAAACCTCAACCCGACTCGACAAGCATGCGTGCGTGGCTACTTCAGAGTAACAGGCACGCTTGCCTTCGCCTTTTCCAAGACGCTCTCTGCGGCCGGCATAGCTCGGCTCTTGAGCTTGGCGGCGGCCTCTTTGAGCTTCTTCTGCCGCATGATCCGGATGTAGGAGAAGAGTAATAGGAAGAGTATTTCCACTCTTTCCTTGGTCATCATGAGGATGCCTTGCACCATGAGGCCCTTCATGAGTTGAGGACCAATCCCCTTGAAAAGCGCGAGTGGCCCTTCATGTTCGATGATATATGCCATCACTTCGGTGAAGGTCTTGAAGTGTTTGCCTTCCCGGGCTGGCGGAGGTCGGGATTGGAGGCCAACTTTGGCCACAATCAAGGGCTGGGTGCAGATCGTTGCGATCGACTTGGAGATGGCTCCAAGGACTGCCCGCGCGTGTCAGTACGATATCACACCTTGACTCGAATCCCATTTGACTTACCAAAAGCCTCCCATGGGTGGAGTCTCTCCCGACCTGGGAACATAATGTCCTTCAGACGCTGATAAGCGCCGTACGTGATTGCGGGGTTGACGCAAAGCACGAGCGAGGCCTTGAGACCCCTCCAGAGGCCAGTCCAACCATCCTCACTGTGAACGACCTCCTTTCCCGTCTCCCACAGGCCCTTCTTGTGACCCCTTGGTTGTGTCTGCTGCCGCGTGGTGATGACTGCCACGGGGATTGTGAATATCTGAGCAATAGCTCCCGCGACAGCACCCAGGGACAACTCGGCAGCTGTGCCAGGATGGCCTCCGGGAACTGTTCGGTATTGTGTGTATAGCGTCCGCACTACTGAGTACCAGTAGAAGTAGGCGAAATTCGTCGAGGCAACACCGATCAAAGCACCGTTGAGGCCCGAGTATAGGCCGGCGACGCCGTCATGCTCGACGATCTTTTTGATGGCGTCCCAAGTCGACTCGTAGTGATGGTGCTCGGCCGTGTGCTGGTGTACATGGCCTTTCTTCTTTATCTGGACTTGTAGTCTTGTCTTGACACTGCGGGCTCCCATTAGTAGCTTATCTTGTGTCATCCAATCTGAATTTGCCATACATGTCCAGCGGATAGACCAGCGCATTTGCAAGGACTGCGCCAGTTGCACCTGCAACGGCGCTCTCCCACGGCGCCAGCTGCCCGGCTTTTGTCATGGCTTTGTCTGGGTGGCTCTTCGAGCGCTAAAGGAGGGGAGAGAGGAACGAGGTCGGGAGGGTTCTTGAGCTCAAAGCCGGACCTCTGTGTGCTGATATAGAAAGCCGGGTAGGCGGGAGTGTTGGAGGGACTGGGTTTCTTTCGGCTGGTCACAACGTCAGAGTTTGGAGGGAGCTGCAGCTGATATGGGTAAAGAAGAAAGAATGGTCGCGTAATTATTTTACTAGGGAAACCTCATTGATCATTCCTCATCTGCCCGAGAGACATGGGCGATCTCGCATACGAAAAACCCCGTGGGACATGGATTGAGTGGCATCTGAGTGGCTCGGCCGTTGCAGCTCGATCCTGTCAAGCCGAGGTAGTGGCAATTCCGCTTGTCCACACACAGCCTGCGCTTCTTCGCTCACCCTTCCGTGGTCCATTCTCACTCTTCCGAATCCCGGCCCGCCTCCGATAATTTTCCATGGCCGCTGACGTTTGCGAGAAGCCCTTTTATCTCGAGCTAGTAGCCTAGCACCTAGGTAATGGATGACAGCCTCTCCAGGCTTGAGGAGCAGGCTCGCTCGATCGAGAGGACAATCCCATTCAAATCCACGGGCAAGGCAGTACTAGATGCCACCATCAAGACTGCCGAGTTGTACTTTCAGGCTCTTCGCCTCGCTGACAAGCCTTCAGACAAGCAGAGGCTCGACACCAGGTTCAACGAACTCCTAGCGCGGGCCGAGCGGCTCAAGGCAGCCCAGAATGAACAGAACAGACTGGTCCCTGCGGCAGGATCGAGAGAGCTCCTCGAACCACCTGTTTCGCGCCGCGAGCTCACGACGCGAGAAAAAATTATACTCCTGGAGGGTGGTAAACTGAATGGTTTCAAGTTCACTCCTTGGACGGCTCCACCATCCTCGGGTGAATTTGCCCTTCGTGATGGCGACGCTTTATTCACAGACTCGAGGTCGCTGCCTCTGTCCACGGCACAGCTTGAATCGTTTGATGGTTGGAAACGACCGCAGCAAGCACTTCCGTCAGTTCACTGCGACCTCAGTGGACATAATGGTATTGACGCGGCCGTCATGTATTTGCCTGAGCCTATGGACCTCGTGCAAGACATGACATCGGACTGTTCGGTGGTTGCGAGCCTGTGTGCTCTATCCTCCAGGGTAGAGCGCGGGTTTCCAAAGGTAGGACAGGAGCTTTGACAGCCCAGCTCGTTACTAACCCTCACTCAGATCCTGCGAAGTGTAGTGCATCCTTTCAACTATGAAACTGATCGGATGATTCTGTCGCCTAATGGAAAATACATTCTCAAGTTATATTTCAATGGTTGCTGGAGAAGGGTCGAGATTGACGACTATTTGCCGTCTTCCAAGACTTCCCGAGTTCTTCATGTGATTGACCGCCGGCATCCTAAGTTACTATGGCCAGCCCTGGTTGAGAAAGCATATCTAAAAGTTCGTGGCGGTTATGACTTTCCTGGGAGCAACTCTGGGACAGATCTCGCCGTGCTTACCGGGTGGATTCCTCAACAAGTCTTTCTCCACGATGAGGATGTCGAACCAGATCTCTTGTGGGAGGAGATCATTGCTCAGTTTCGAAGAGGAAATGTTCTCGTCACCATTGGAACTGGCAAATTACCCCGCCGGGAGCAAAGACACCTCGGTCTCGCAGCGGAACATGACTACGCAGTCTTGGACATGTCTACTAACGCTCATGCCAAAGAGATGCTCGTCAAAAACCCCTGGGCTGACGGAGATGTATGGCGGGGGGCGGCAAGGCGCCGACCGCATCGAAACGACGAAGAATCTCCAATTGACACGCCTGAAAACGAAGAGATGATGCCTGGCACCTTCTGGATGGACTTCAACAGCGTGTTCCAATATTTTGAGAATATGTATCTCAACTGGAACCCTGCATTGTTTTCTTATCGAGAAGACCTTCACTTTTCGTGGGATCAGGCTAATGCTACGCCAACCGGGAGCTTGATCGTCAACAATCCCCAGTTTGCAGTGGCAGCTTCTGGTACAGGCGAAATCTGGTTGTTACTACAGCGGCATTTTCGAACAGGAGACTACACGCAAGAGACGACAAAAGAAAACGGATATATCGGCCTCTCCTTGTATTCGTCTCATGGCAATAGAGTTATATCGAGTGAAGGGGCAAAAATACGGGGACCATTTGTGGACTCTCCCAATACCCTGTTGAGGTTCAAAGCTACTGCTCAATCGGGCTATACTGCAGTTTTGGTATCACAGGGCCTTCCTCTTGGGAAGATGAACTTTACAATCTCGGCTTTGTCGAAACATCCAGTAGCACTGTCGGAAGCACCACTGCCATATCCCCAGAAATTCAGCCTCAGCTCCGCGTGGACCAGGTCAAACGCTGGAGGAAACTCGGATTCAGCAAACTACTTGTCCAATCCCCAATTTCGAATGACCCTGTCCACTGCGCAGAGGATTGCATTAGTTCTGAGGATTGTGGGATCGGTCAAGCCTATCGCTGCAGTAGAACCCGATGTCAACGTCAAAATCCTGGTACTCTTCAGCAACGGGTCAAGGATTACCCGCCTTCGCCCGCGGGATGTTCTCGCGCACTCTGGAGACTACCGACGTGGGAGTGCTGTTGTTGAAACCAAGCTAGGACCCGGTACCTATACGATTATCTGCTCTACATTTGATGAGGGTCAATTTGCGGATTTCTTCCTCGATCTGTACTCGTCTGCGGGCGAGAGTATAACTTTGAATCAACTGCCAGCGGAAGGTGCTGGGCGATTGAGCATCAAAAGTAGTCCGGCAGTGTTCCACAGTTCCACAGATCGCCTGCTCGCGCCGCTTACGGTGTCGAGGCTATCTCGGATCTCGTTCGTTGCGCGATACGAAATCGTCACCACTGCACAAGCGCATTCCTCCCTCTTCAAGATGACACTCGAGCGAGGTCAAGGGCCGTATAAGGACATTCTCGCGACGAGCGAGATCGACAACGTGGAATTCGGCAGTATCTCTTCAGGTCTTCGGATTATCGATATCGATCTGCACCCGTCGCTGTGCGGGCCTGGCTCTAGTGGTCTCTGGCTTGTTCTCGAGCGACTGCCGCAAGGCGGTCAGAGCGATGGAGAGGACGGGGTCGTTGAGAAGAGCGATGAGATTTTGCACGTCGAAATGTTTACGGATGAGAGAGTTGAGCTGGGCGCCTGGGGCCTGGGAGACGGTTGATCGAGGGCGCAATTCATGAAAGAATGGGGCTTTGGCTTTGTGGCAACGCGTGGGATCTGGACAGCAGCATTGGTATAAGCAAGCAGTTGGCGTCTTAAACCCGGATGGGCTGGCCGTTGGATCCTTTACAGCATTTTTATTCGTTTTTACCCCCTAAAGTCTGTATACAAATTGAAAGTTCCTAGGTATTTAATACAGATTGCAAAACAGTCAACAGGAAACGCCCCCATTGTCACTCCGTCCAGAAGGTAAAATCCTCTGGGTACACACCGAGCACACAGATATGTTTGCTGTCTCTCGAGCCACGCCACAAATGCGTCGTCACAATTCCTCCCGTTTGTGGTTCGTGAAACCTCGGCAACCACGACCTAGCTTAGGTAGCCTGCTTCATGATCAAACTCTTGAGTCCGGGCACGACGCCCGAGTCCACGACCTTCATGCCCAGGCCCCGCGCGGTACCGACCAGCCTGCTCAACATGCTGCCGTCTCCGGCACTGCCCATCTGGTAGAGCCAGTTGAGGGCGTCGACGCCGCCGGCCATGACGAGGCCCTTGCCGAATCGAGCCGCGTTGTAGCGCTCCAGGGCGAAGGCGTCGCCAATGTCCATGCCGTGCTCGACGGCGTAGGCGACCGCGTCGGCGAGTGCGGCGGCGTCGCCGAGGCCGAGGTTCAACCCCTGCCCCGCGAGCGGGTGGATGGTGTGTGCGGCGTCGCCGATCAAGGCGACCCTCGGCCCGGTGAGGGACGTCGCGTGGCGCAGACGCAGCGGGAACGACGCGAGCGTCTTCTCCTGCACGCCGGTGATGATCGGCGGGGCGCGCGCGGTCGGCGGAGGTTGCGTGTGTTGGAGTCGCCAGCGGAGTTCGTCTTCGTGTTGTGCCGCCGCATCCTCGACGCATGGCAGGCTGAACATGTACTTGATGTCCGTCTGCGACAGCCTCAGCGCGGCGTTGATCATCGCCAGCTGCGCCGCAGGTGGCAGGGACTTCAAGTATGCGGCGTTGGCGGGCGTCGTGGACCACACCAACGATGCGTGGTTGTTTGGGAGAGGCAGGATGGCGATCGGTCCGCCGAGCTCGGGAAGGAAGCGTTGGTATGCGGTTGCGCGGTTGCCGAGAGGTTCCTCGGAGAAGAGGTCAAAGTCGTCAGCGTTGAGGCTGTCGTCGGCCGGTTGCACCGTGAGTGTAGCGACTACGCCGTGCCGGTTGTAGTCCCAGCCGCGGGATGCGATGCCCGCGAAGGTGCGCACGGGCGAGTTGAAGCCGTCGGCGCCGACAAGGAGGCGGGCTGCTATGGTAGATGGATGTTGTGACGAAGGCGAGGATGGGGAAGGCGTCTTTGATTCGAGGGCAAGAACCGGCCAGGTGGACAGGTTGAGCCCGTTGGGGTCGTCTTCGCCGTTCGTGATGGACGAGACGCTGGTGTTGGAGAACAGCGACGATTCTGCGTCGAGCTGGGCGATCCGCTCGAGGAGACCTCTCGTCAGATTGGCGTTCTCGGTCATCGTCGCCACGGTGCTCGGAGGTGCGTTGTATTTGCTGGTCTCGGCCGTCCAGTCGAATTGCAGAGTTGCGTCGTTCGCAGCGTCCCAGACTTGCATCTCATCGTAAGCTTGAACGCGAGACTGGTCGACATGTCCCCATGCGCCCGTCGTCTCGAGAAACGAGACGGACGAGGACGTCAGGCTGCTGGCACGATTCGAGTATTTGTCTTCCGGTAGACTCCATTGACGAAGCTTGGGCAGATCTTGGGTCTCGATCAGGGCCGTTTTCAGATGTGATGTTATGGGCGACGACTCTGTCAGAAGATTAGCTGTCGTCCACTCTGTGACGACCAGGGAGGGAGAAAACAACGAACTTAACGCTGCTAGGAGGGCCAGGCCAGCTGGTCCGCCACCGACTGTCACGATGTCGAAGATCTCGGGGGTTGATGATGCTTTAGTGGATGCGAATCGTCTCCGTCTGCTTGAGGTCAGGCTTTTCCGGCATTGGATGCAAATGAAGCGCGTGTCGGCAAGAGACAATTTCGCCGGCATCTTGATGAGACTGTGCGCGTTGGTGTTGTCGGAAGCTTACAGGAATCAATATATGCGGAGATTCACCATCGCTGATTCTGTGGACGTGATGGAAGGATGAAGCCAGGGAAGCAAGTGTTGAGGTGAGAGAAACTAATCTTTGAGCCAATCACGATCGACTCTCGGCAGCCTTGCTCAGCCTCGTCACACCATCTACCAACGAGGCACGAGGCTGGAGACGCCAGTATCTTTGATAGCAGGATACAAGCATATACACAATATGGACCGGTAATTACTAGACTCCACACTACTGACCCTGATAGTTAGTCACCAGTGTCGTGACATGTATTTGCAGGCCCAATCAAAATTGTCGCTGAATTTTCTCAATGTCGATGGGTGAATCCCAAGGGACCTTGAGCATAGCGGCCGTTCACATAATACAAACAGACATCCGTGTCACCCACGCCATCCAATCTATCGTAAACATGCTCGACTTCGCCAAAAACCACCATATGATCTCCGATTTCCACTGCCTTTTCGGGCAGGTACCGGCACCTGATCTGAAACTTTGGAAAATATTGAATGATAGGAGGTGAGTTGGGTCGGAATGCTGGCACTGTGTCAGAGCGCCACCGCGCGAACGAAGCCAGATTTCCGTCTCTCCGGTGAAAAGGCGAAGAGGCGTTGCCGCGCGCAAATTTTTCGGCGATTTTTTGTCCCATCTGATCGCAGAGAAACAGATGCACGTTAAAAAGGCCCGAAGTTTTGATGGCCTCATATGTTGACGACAGCTGCTTGATATTGAAAGAAACAATCGGTGTCGGATCTAATGTTACAGTGTTGAAGGAAGATACGGTTGCTCCTCGCCATGCAGAAGGATCACCATTGGTGCTGATAGATATGTCGGTCGAGGTAATAACAGCAACGGGATGGGGGACGTGGCGCATTAATCCCTTGACTCTCTCGTGAAGAGACATTTCCCACCTCACCTGCGACTGGGCATGCTGGGCTCCCTGACTTGTTGGACTTTCGGACTTTGCGGAAACGGTTCCGGAGTCGACTTTTCGAGCTTGGACTGAATCATTCAATGATTCTGAGCCTGCCTCGAGACCAGCTTTTGTGGCTTTGGAACCTTGATTGGTTGTTTTTGAGCTCAGTCGCCTGGTAAGGTGTCGGGAATTTGTCGTCTTTGAGTTAATCGGTGCCTGGGGGCTTGTTCTCGTCAAGTTTCGGCGTTGACAGAGGCTGACATTTTCACGCAGTAAAGAGAAGTTGCGTCGACAGCCGCGACAGACTGTTTGAAACCCGATCACTTAGTAGGGTCAACAGGAGAAATTAAACAAAGCGCCGGTGTGCTCTTACGATGTACAGTCCCTCTTTTGGTCAGAAGTGAGCAGATAGAGGTCAATGCTGGTAGATTGCCCGAGACACGTAGAGGGCTCATGGCAATGACTGGAGCGGGACAAGGGGCCGACGCCTTGCCATCAGATAGAAATTCTTATGATATACATATCTTCCAGTCATGAATCCAGAACCCAAACTGGATACACCGGGGAATAATTGGCGACAGACAATTCCAACAAGTTGGTTACTGGGTTGGAAGCTCGTCTCCCCCGGAGAAAATGGAATCTCTTGGCATATTTTCCGCGTTTGTGCACCACACGGCTTTGTCGACAGCCTCACACCTTCGCAGCTGTAATCAACTTGCCTCTATTCCCATCAACACAATGAAAAGGTGAAGCTGTCCCATACTCCGGATATGCAAGTGAGGCAGTTGATCAACTCCCCGTACTTAGCCCGTCTGAGGAAGATAATGCCGAGGAAAAGATGTCCTCAGCAGGTTTATCAAACACCAGGCCAATCCACATGACCGAGTCCATCATGTCACGAAATCCACTCCATGAATCAATTCCACATCGTTTGATGGTTGATTTCAGCCAAGGACTCAGCCAAATATCACTAGTGTCTTCGAGCACTGTAATACGGCCAACTACAAGAAGCCAGAGTAACAGCGGCCGCCATCTGTCGTCCAAGGTGTCAAGGCCAGCAAGAGCTTGTTGGTAGGTAGAGGACAATGTTGTCCTTCGTACCCTGAAATCTGGCAGCTGTAAGAAGACTTGTGAGGAGAAAGCCAATAGACCGAGCCGGATAGCTGCGTCAAGCGAACCAGTTGCAAAGCTCAAGTGGAGAAGGCGATACATCACTGAGGCAGTTGCTTCGAGCAGAAATTCTTCCGAGAGCTTGCGTTTAGTCCTGGCGGCGCGGTTGATCTGGAGGCAAAATCCCTTCAGAGCTCTCCAGACAGTGGCCAGATCTTTGTCGATCACGTTGAGGAATTTCTCAGGGTAAGGCCTGCAAGTTGTTGCGTCGGTCGACTCTGGAACGGATACCAACATCAGGTGCGGAAATGGCCTATAGGGCTCACCAGAAGAGCAAGCCGAGAAGAATGTAGGCGTGAGGCCGGTTTCGATTGCCAGTCCGATGTCGCATCTGTGCAACTAATCAGCATTTTACCAGACAAGAAAATCCCTGAGCAAAGTTGTCAGAACGGTGCAGAGTTTGATACCTAAAGATCTCGATGGCGAGTCTCGTCTTAAGCAAAATGGTCTCAATCCCTCCTCTGAGATTGATCATCATGCAAAGGCCTTCCATGTGACGCTTTGCGGTGTCATAGTCTCCAGTCATACGAGCGTGAAGTGCCAGGGCAATAACCACCATCATAGTGGGAAGGGCAATTTTCAGGTCCTCGTCTGTCGAATCTAGTCGCTCGCGTAGCAGCTGAAGTGCCTTTGAGAAATGTGGAGATGTGCCATGGGGAGCTTTATGATCTTCACGACCTCGCATTAGTTCAACGTATGCATGAGTTCCCAACGCAGTGGCGTGAAGGAAGGCTGCATCGGACGCCATGGGGCCAACCAGCACCCTCTCTCTTTTGATGAAGGCAATGCATGGCGCCAATGGAACAGTGGCTTGCCTTGCGAGAGAAGCATCTGCATTCCGCATGCTGTCAGCCCTCTAACTTTCAAGCAGGAATCCACAAGAGCAAGATGAGACATACAAGTCAGAATATCGGTGATTGCGGACGGCTCAATCTCGTCTGCCAGCTGGGTGAATGACCACTCGGACCCAACCTTTTTCGGGATAATCGAGGATGATTGTTGTATTGGTACTTTGCCGCCAGTTGATGAATCCCACGCCGGTTCCGCCTCCCAGGGCAGGGTATCTTTCGGTCTGGCCCGCCGAGACTTCCCCAAATTCTTGCCTAACATCACATGGCTCCGTATGAGCTTGCGTGTCTGTAGATCATTCTTCTTCGTCGTCCCCGCGGACACGATAAATGGCATGCCTGCTGTCAAACGGGATGTCAGCATCAGGACCATGGCTCTAGATGAAACGCTCTGTTGATTGCCCCAAGGACTTACGCGACGGGATTGCTTGAGGCATTATGGAGCCTTTTGCACAGTCAATGCACGGGAGACGTCAAGTTCGTCAAGAATTTGCCCTGATCGAGGCTGCCTGGTTTAGGTGCCAGTCGACGAGGTGGACTTTGCCAAAGCGAGGCCGTATTGCTTTCTCTTTCTGGCTAGGGTCAATAACTCCGTTTCAGAGAAGATTCTGCGTGGTCAATAGGCATCCAACTCGATTGCGAGGCTTTTTCGAGCTGGGATGGCGCAATCTGCTGTTCATTGTTTGAGGTTTGGTTCCAAGCGGAGAATCTCATGCACATATTATTTGCCATTTCCGGTTTAGACTGGGAAGGCTAAACCTTTTTGGATCAAGGGAACTCGACTATCCAGCCTCATCAGGACAATCCCATGGCAATGTCCGGCCAAATGATATTGGCCTGGTACTAGTCAGTTGGATGGTTGAGTTTTCTCCAACCGATGAACCGGCATGTTGTCAACTCGGCGCCGAAAGATTCCTTGTGTGAGGTATACAATGGTACATCCGCCTATATATATGACCTGAGAAGCACAGTCTCTGCTGTCGCTGGTGCAGTCTATCCATTCCAGGATCCTACTCTTCAATTACACATTTGTCAAGCCCAATTCCACGAGGACCAGCTCACGATGCCTTCCTCTCGGGACCTGCCTCCTATAACAACTCCATTCTTTCCAAGGCTCTTCTACAGAAACCAGTTTGTCGCCAAACCTCAGCGGCCGCCAAAGGGCACCGACCTCTCGGGGCAGGTTGTAATTATCACAGGAGGCAATACAGGTATATTTCCCCGATATGGACCACAATATTTCGTGGGGAGACATGGCCATCGTGGTTTTGGGGAGTGTTGACATCTGCTAACACAAGTTGTCCAGGTTTGGGTTTGGAGAGCGCCCGCCAACTGCTCTCTCTCAATCTCTCACGTCTGATTCTCGCTGTCCGTTCTAGTCAGAGAGGGGCAGAAGCAGCAAAAAGTCTCCATGCCACCTATCCACGAGCGACCATCGACGTTTGGCAACTGGACATGGCCTCCTATGATTCAATCCAGGCATTTGTTCGACGCGCAGAGAACGAGCTGACACGCCTCGATATCATAATTCTCAATGCTGGCAGATGGACGTACAATTTCACCAAGTTGCCTACTACCGGTCACGAGGAGATCTTCCAGATAAACTACCTCTCGACCGTTTTCCTTGCTATCTTGATGCTTCCCGTTTTGAAAAGCAAAGCTCCAGCGGGAAAGCCAGGCCGCTTGACCATCGTCAATGCTGCGCTGTCCCTGACCGCGAAATTCCCGACCAAGGACAGAACCCCTTTGCTCCCTTCATTCGATGATCCAAAGGCATTCAACATCAGCGAGACGTACAACACGTCCAAGGTGCTGGCACACATGTTCCTCTGGAAACTCGTCGACTATGTCTCAGCCGACGACGTCGTCGTGAACCTCGTGGACCCCGGCTTTGTCAAAGGAACACGACTCGCGCGGGATGCACCGAGGATCATGGTGGCCCTCGGTCAAATATTTGCCGCACTCACCGCCAGAAGTACCCGCGATGGTGCCTCGACGTATGTCGATGCCTGTCTGCTCAAAGGAAAGGAGTCTCACGGATGCTTCATAATGGGCTGGCAGATCAAACCGTAAGTTGCTCATGATTATCCCGTTCTACTGTGTTATTGTCTTGCTAAACAGGGTTGCCTGTCAAGGTTTGCAACCATGTTGTACACGCCCGAAGGGAAAGCTGTTACCGAGAAGCTGTGGCGGGAAACAATCGATGAATTGAGCTTTGCCAAGGTGCAAGACATCCTGGAGTCGATGAAGAGACATTGATCTCCTTCTTCAGCGGGATCAAAAAGGGGGTGCATTTGTTTGGCTGTTGTTAGGAAAGAGGGCGCCGGAAGGACTGTGGAGGAATTCTAATTTTCGACAAGCTTTTGCTCCTCTGAACCTTGGATTCTAATCCAACACAATTATTTATCTAGGTGTAGCATTCACAAATAGCGATTAGTCTTCGTGGACTCCTACGAAACTTGTCCCAGTGCTGCTGACACACGGCGAGAAATCCGAGATACTCGGCATTTGATCATCTCAGTGCTGGTGGTCATCTCCACCACCATAGCCGATATTTGCGAGACCGAAGCAGCATCAGTCTCATCAGTCACAACTCTCCACCATATAAGGCTTTCCCCGTAGCTCTTGACCAATACAACGAACGTCCAGACATCGCGCTCCGCGACAAAGCCATCAAGAGGACGCCCGAACCCGAAACCCGCCTGCGCCAGCAAAGACCCGAGCAGGAACAATATACATCATGCAGGACATCGAAGAGGCTACTGTCACCTTTCGCAAGTCCAACTTGACGACCAAGTGGTTGGCAAAGGATCGCTTAACACTCCTCCAATTGGCAGAAAAGTCTGGGCTGAAGCCTGACTACGGTTGTCGGTCTGGTGCGTGTGGAACGTGTGAAGTCAAGCTCTTGAAGGGGACCATCGATGGTATCTTGGAGGGAGACGATGGCGTCCTCATATGCAGCTCTGTTCCGGCAAGTGTTGAGGTGGAACTTGAACTGTGAGGCGGCACCTTCGTCTGTGGAGGGAAACAATTGCCGCAGCCTTTGACAGAGAGCTCGTCTCAAGGCCAGGAAGCGCAGGATCTTCGGGTTCGTGGAGAGGTCAGGAACGTATGTTTGGCTGCGGGCCTCATGCCTCGTTCACGCGTGGTCGGGCAGGGAGAGTAACTCGGTAGACAGACAGGCCTGGGGTTGCCCTGTGAATTCAGGGGAAGGAGAAAGCCGATGAGATTGGAACTGACGGTTGCAGGGAGCAAGTATGGCGATGACTGCGAGGATCATCACTACATGAACAACAACTGACGGACAACTGATGAAGACGTCCACCTGGCATCAGTCAGAACAAACAGCACTGTTTCTGTCTTGGGCCAAACCTCAGCCACCTTTTATCCCCTTCTCAACCGCACCTGGTAAGGGCGTGAGAATATTCTCAGTTGTTTCCTCACCGTACCTACTCTAGGTCTAGATACAGAGAGAGCGAGAGAGAGACAGAGAGAGAGAGAGATCGATCAAGAGTCCTTCTTTCCCACTTCCACCTTCTAGACTCTCCTCTGTGGCACTGACCTTATGCCGTCCCTGGGTGCCTGCTCCCCTAGAGTCAACGGTCACGTATGTTTAATCACTACGATGACCCAAAACAACCTGTCCTGAAACATATTGTCACTGCAGCGCCTTGACTTTCTCCACGGCACTGGAGCCTTTCAGCACTTCTGTCTCATTGTTTTATCCACATGAGTATCAGCTTAACCGACGATGCCCTTCCCCAGCCTGCGGCGGCGAACCGTCAACGAGGCAACCCAGCTACGAGACGAGCACAAGTCTCCTTCGCCCTCACCATCACCAAGAGCTCGCTCAGCCACCGTCCCTGGCCTTACCCCCCGCAAAAGCTTGTCCTCTCTCATCGACTCGGTCAGGAAGAGAGGAAATCCAAGGTAAGTCAAGACTGTGTGAGGTCAAGCAGCCGCTGACAAGATCCACAGTCCCTTGCCAACCAGATCCCACCATGATGCCCTCGAGCAGGAACTATACTCCGTCTACGATGCCTCGAATCCTGACCACGACCCTGATCGAGCCGGTCGAAGTCCCTCGGCAACAGACAAAGACAAGCGCTACTATCGGACACCAAGCCCTCATCCTCTCAAAATGTCAGCCGCGTCTTCTCTCTCAAGATTGTCTAAACTCAGTCGTGGCACTCCAAGCGGCAGAAGTTCAGACCTTTCCCAGGCAGGATCGCCCCCCAAAACTTTCCTCGAAACGCTAGCAGACGCTATCCGAGCCCCAACTTCATTATTCTACAAGGAGAATAAGAGCAGCTCAAAGACGGAGGATAGCAACACCTGGATCAGCAAGCCCCCGTCCCCGGCAAAGAGTACCAGTCCGAAGAAATCTGTCAGATTCAAGCCCGGAAAATCAATCATCGAGGATGAACCGAGGTCTTCTCCCATCGACATTCCCAGAGCAACGCCCTCTCTGCCTCCTGTTCAGCTTGCGAGCACGCCGCTCTTGCAATGCTTCGGGAATGACCATCCACATCTCATCCCCACCGGCAGGCCTCCTCCTCCGCGAGTACTGGATTCCACCATTAACTTCCGCCAAGCGATGGCTGCTGCCCAGACTTCCATCACTGAGGACGAGCTGCGGGATGTCTTCTCAGTCGGCACCCCAGCGTCAGAACTTCCAGTGCCCTTGCCTGGTATGAATGTCTCAGCGGAGAATCGGTTGAGCGAAGCAAGGGATGGACGTGAGATGGAATATCAACAGGGTATGCTTCAAGAGTACGATAACCAGTTTTCCAGCAAAGAACTGGAGCCTTGCCGATCTGCAAACATTGTCATTGAGACAGACTTTGTCGCCAACGATGAACGAGTCCAAGATTTACCTGCAGGAAATTACGTCGAAACCATAATGGCAACCACTGGACCACATTTCGCCTCCGATCCATGCCAATATGGTGGGAGCCCAAGGAAGTCTATATCCTCCAGCGACAGCAGTCATGATGTCGTATTCCCTGAGCTTGCAAACACTCTCGTCGCTACATCGGATGTTGAACTCGAGGAGACCGCCACTGTTAAAGACAGTACGGAGTCGGATTGCTCTGATGGACCATCACTCATCTTGGCGCGTTCGGCATTGATGACTGCTGAAGGCGAGGACATATGGCAAGGAAATCCAACCCATGAAGACATTCGTCTCCGTTTTAAGCACCCGGAATGCTATGGGCCCATAGATTCTCGTGATTCTCGTGATATGGACAGCGCCTCGGGCTTGAATGCAGGCTCGCAGCCAACCACGCGCGTCAAAGCAGCTATGACTCCGTCGCCAGACTCGACTGCAGAGTCGAGCCCGATCCAACTTCCACCATCTGCCGCTTCTCATGACTTGACCGCAGAATTGAAGAGAAAGAGATATCGATATCCGACCTCCGATGGAGTGGGTGACAAATAGCCTGCTATCCTTGAACCTGTTGCTGATTTCCATTCTAGGATCCCTATTTGTATGTACCGGAGAGTTTTCTTCACAATCCACCTTGGGTTGCAGAGCTCGCCCTTCGGTGCGACAGACCATTTCCAGAAAACAGACCAAGACAACTTTCTCCATTCTATCCTGGTCTTCGAACTGAGAGATACGAGAGATCAACGTCGATGACAGGAACTATGAGTGAAAGCGAACCTGACGGCGGAGCTTTCTTGTATCCGGAGCATACCGAGGTGGGCTTTTCCGGCCCATGTAGCTCAAGCGATCGATGCAAAGGCTAACAACGAATAGGACCAAATGGAGGCTTCTTCTCGGAATCTTGACAGGTTCGAAACATCGTCTGATATGTGGCCAGCAGAACAGTCCGCACCGATTACGCCGTCTCCGTCATCTGTTCCGCTACCCTTGTCCATTCGTCCCTCAGCAAGAACCTATGACAGACTGCATGCCGATGAGTCTGGGCCATGCCCTTTTGCAAATGAGCTAGGGTTATTAAACCTGGGCGACACACGTACTGAACAGAATGAGTTCGAAAAGAGCCCCAAGGCTATTGAGCATAGCCTGGAAAACAATTATGCTGGCTCAGGAGGCATTTTGCCTCAGATTTTGCGTGATACAGAGGAAGAAAAGCTAGCCAGAGCTGCTGAGGTCCTAAAAAGATTCATTCCTCGAAAGGCCAGCGGTTCAAGCTCCTCGCAGGATCCGACTATCGACCCCGAAGGCCACTCTGCCCGTGAGCATACAACAAAAATTCCTCGGTTGAAGCGTCTCCAGGGCCAAAGTTCAGAGCAGGAAATGGAGCCCTTGACTAAACCTCCGTTGGATCGAGGAAGATCGGCGACAATCGAAAGCAAATGGTCTGCAGGAAGCGAAATCTCCCAGGACAGCGGTTCGGGCGAAACCCTGCGGACAGCGATCTCCACAGACCCTACTGAAGGTATGGATGAGGACGAACGGATGTGCAAGGGCATTGTTTGACTATGAAGGATATCAAGTCGAGTGGCATGCCTGCTTCGAGAAACTACAGGTATCCGCAAGACGAAGTATATCTTATTGGCAAGGACCATCATTTTGGAATCGAATGGCAATGGTCAAGCCTAAGCACGAGGTACATTGCATCAGGATAGCATGATATGTGAATAGAGAGCACTTGAATCATCCGGTGGCATCTGATCAAGGATGCATTTTCTGTCAGGGTGGACCTGATTCACTAACACCCATCTTGCTGGCTGCCTCTCTGGCGGCCCTATGTTTACTCACGCTGCCCTCCATGCCATGACGAATAGCCTCGATGTCTCCCGGAATTATCATCTCGAACGTATCCCGAATGACGGCGTAGTCATAATAGCCGCACCTTGCAATGGGCTGTGTCTTTGCGACATCGATTTTGCCATCAGCGGTCAAGACCCGGTCGTCGATATGAATACCGACGACCTTGCCGATGACGATATCGACGGTGCCCATTGGCGGATTGCAGGGCAGGCGCAGCGTGGAGTGGTACTCGCACTCGAAGCGGACGGGCGAGGCCTTGACCATGGGCACGGGAGTCTTGAGCACCGTTGACCAGACCTTTTCGAGGGCGGCGCGCTCAAATTCGTCGACCCCGTAGGGGACCTGCTCGGCGGAGACGTTGACGGCCTCGCGCAGCTCCCACGTCGCCAGTTGCCAGCAAAACACGCCCGTGGCCTCGACGTTGCGCACCGTGTCCTTGTGCTGGTTCGAGGGTGTCTGGTTCGCCGAGAACATGACCATCGGTGGGTCGAAGGTCAGGTTGTTGAACTGGCTGAACGGCGCGAGGTTGGCTGTTCGGCGGGGTTCTGTCGTCGTAGAGGGGGATAATAGTGAGGCTGGCCTTGTTGTGGTCGATGTCGATGGTGTGGACTCTGATTCTGGCCCTTCCTGGGGAGGCGAGATGGTGCTGATCCAGCCTATTGGGCGGGGAATGACGCACGCCTGTTGTCTCCATCCCGTCCCCTTGGGGATGGACAGTGTGAGAAAATGCAGAGGTAAAATAGCAAAATGGGGACGAGTATACATGGACAGAGAAAATGGGCAGTATGTCAAGACTACCTAGTATCCTACATACCAGCCTTGTTTGGTAGGTAGGTACCTAGGTATGTACCTAGGTAACTAGACGGATGGAAATACAAATGATGAAGGAGAGTGCGTCTCGCGCCAACGAGGGAGGCAATCGACTCTGAACGTGACTGACTGAAGAGACTGAGGTGACTGACCTTGAACGGATCATATGGCAGGTTATGCTCTGTCTTGCCTGGTTCGTAGAACATCTTTTCCGGTGTGGTTCCCCGTTGCAGCAGCGGTTCGAATTCGAATGTAATGTATTTGTGATGAAGATCAGAATACCACCACGGTAAGGTGTGTGCAAGGTGCTCGCAAGGTCCGCGTGACTCGACGAGTACCTAAAAGTGGCACACGAATATAGGTTAATCCATATATATCCCTGTATAAAATACAGACCTACAAATAGGCATAATGTATGCCATACATATATATATATACCGCCCAGACCCCCCGGAGGAGTGGGGGTAGTTGCCTTAATATTCAATGCTTGTAACTCGGTACTCCATACCCCAACGCAAACTCCAGACTGCGAACATGACGAATGATCATTCCGGGCGCGAACCGGATCGGGGATCTGCCAAAGTAGGCCGACGAGTCGGAGAATTGGAATGAGACAAAGAGGGCTGACCGAACTACTGGACTCGGAATAGTAGGGTCGCGAAGCTCAATGAAAAAGATTTGTTGGGGTTTCCGAGATGCCAGTGCGGAATGGATGCTTTTCCTTTACCTTTGTAGGGGAATTTAGAGAAGTAATAGATGCGTCAATAGTGGTGATATTACAAAGCATAAATAGATCGCAGCTCGCCCATCAAAATGCGACCCACTCTGCGCTTATCGACTGTGCAGGCTCTTTCAATTGTCCTCGTCCCTATTGGGGATCGTCCTGCAAAAATCGTCTCTGGCTTCCCTACCTTGCATCCTCTCCAGATCGCGTGGCTTGCGTGACTTGCGTCCGTCTCTTCCGTCTCCTTTCAGTGCCTTCTCATCCCGAACGGCTGCACTTTTGCGGTGCTGGTATTGGTCCAGCTCACGATGTTGAACCGAAACTGCCCAACAATCATCTGCTTGGATACTTCACGAGAGCTCCTCCGCAAAAGTGACGCTGCGATGTTTGCCACGCTCACACATGATACCGACAACAAGAGTGGACGGCGCCGCAGACGACGAAGGTGAATCTGCGCTTATGTCGACCCCTCGGCGGGCAAGTTGCATCTCACCCATCTTCTTCCGCACGGCCTCGAGAATCAAACTCAATCTTGCAGCTGCGCCGCGGTTGGCCATGACTTCCTTGCGCAGATGGGAGGACAATCCCGTGTGCGTCTTCCGGAGTTTGGCAGGAGGATTTTTAATGTCCCTCACAGAAAAGGTAAGCTGCTCGACGGTGCCTGGCTCTAAGAGGGTGAGGGGACCGTGGGCATGACCATAGGAGATGATGATGAGCTCGAACTTCGACACGGTCTTTGCTGCGGCTTCAGACATCTCTGGTCTGGAAATCGACTCATGGTGGTCGAAATCTTCCATGACTGGCGCTGTTAACGGAATACGCTGCGCCTTGGACTCCTCACAGTGTAAGAGAAGGCATTTTACAATCGCGGCTGTGACCGGGCCGTCTCCCGAGGTAGCTTCACCTCAGATATCGATCACTGCACGTGGCGCCTAGGTCTCTTCTGTGATGGCGGGCAAATAATGGCCACGGCCACAGAGAGGGACCAACACCATGGCAGTGAACAGCCTCTCGAGCGAGACAAGATTGTGTCACGGTCCAATTTGCCTGGCAGATCACGTGACTGGGCTCTGGAATCGCTGACTGATTCTTACGCAATCAACCCCGCGGAAGGTTTTCCGATTCTAACCAACCACCAACCGGCTTTTCTTCGATGTTCTTCCTGCGCCGCGGCGTCGCAACAAAACAAATGCTATTCAAGCTCTTCATAAGCTGCAAGTTGCTTGTCCAATGCTGATGGTGGGATCGTCCTTGCCATTTCTAGCATATTCGACTGTCTACGGTATCTTGAAGGTATAAGTAACTTCCTTTTCCTTTCCATGAAGCAAATCCACTCTTTTTTGACCACAACCGCGACCACAACCATATACAGCAGTAACCTGGCATTGACCAAGACATTTCTTCGACAAGCCAGACCTATATTCAGCGACATTACTCGTCCCATAAAACCAACAGCAACTAAATCCACAATAACACCTCTTATTTCCACTCGCTTCGCTTCAACCACAGCAAATATGACAACCCCTCGGCAGATCAAGTTCTCGTTCCTGGCTCGCGAACAACCAGAAGGTGCGGGCGCTGTGGTACGACGCTCAGTCGGCACCCCTAAACTGCGCCATTTCACCCCTTTCCTCATGCTCGACCACTTCAACATTTCTCCCGGTGCAGGCTTCCCCGACCACCCCCACAGAGGACAGGAGACAATCACATACCTCCTCAAAGGTGGCGTTAACCACGAAGACTTCGCTGGCCACGCAGGAAGAATCGGACCTGGCGATCTGCAATTCATGACTGCAGGTCGCGGAATAGTCCACGCGGAGATGCCTGTACAAACCGAAGATGTCAGCGTCGGCATGCAACTTTGGGTCGACCTCCCCGAAAACCTCAAATCCTGCGAACCCCGGTACCGCGATTTACGTGCAGAGGAGATCCCAATCGCAAAGACCGACGACGGAAAGGTCGAGGTGAAGGTCATATCGGGCCAAAGCCTAGGCGTCGAGTCTTTGAAGGATCTCGCATACACGCCCGTGTGGCTTCTTGACATCACAGTTCACCCCGGTGGAAAGATCACGCAGGAGCTCCCACAGGGATGGAACGCGTTTGCCTACACGTTGGAAGGCGCCGTGACATTCTCCAATGGCTCCGACGTACACAAAGCCGAAACAATCACACCCTACCATAACGTCGTCTTCGAACAAGGCGGCGATGTGGTGACGGCTTCAGTCGAAGAAGGGGCGTCGGAAGGTGCACGATTCATCCTCGTCGCCGGCCAGCCCTTGGACCAGAACATTGTCCAGTATGGCCCGTTTGTGACCACCTCCAAAGAAGCCATTTATCAAGCCATGATGGATTATCAAACTTCGACCAACGGGTTTGAGAGAGCAGCAAATTGGGAGAGTCAAATTGGAAAGACTATGGGTCGCGTCAGATAAAGAGAATACGGACTTGGAAAATGTTTTAATGAGCGCAAAAGACTCTCGGAGATGACATGAGTTCTTCTTATTTTGGCCCTTTTCGCCAAAGATGTCTTGTGTAGTTACGGCATAGCATAGCGTTGGTGTTCCCAGCACGCATGAAAAATACCCGAGAAGAATCCGGGGCAGGCATATGATGGCGTTTTATGTTGATAGAATACTAGTACCTGCAGTACATAGGTACATATCTCACGGCACAATCCTCACTGAGAACTGGACATGAGCTTAATCACTCTTTCTTTTTGTTAAAAAAAAAAGAAAAAAAAGAAAAAGAGACAAACGTTCTGTGATATCCCTCCCCCTACGGGAGCGAGAGCGAGGTTTGTTACTGTTTCTAACTTTTCGAGACAGCTTCAGCTGCGCCTCGTGTCTATCGTGGAGAACACCTGGTCTCTGTTTCCATCGATTCGCCCATCCGTCCATTCATCCACCCATGCACCCTTTTTCCTGGTAGCATTGATTGTAGTGTGTGTGTGTGTGTGTGTGTGTGTGTGTGTCCTGAACGTACTATCGAGTACAGCGACTGCACTCCTCTCTCGTCCTTCCACCGGTCCGTTTGTCGCGCGTATTTCCCCACCTCGAAGAGTATCTCTAGCGGTGCTCATCGCGCCAGGGCGGTGATGACGGACGTCAGAAGGTACAAAGCCTACCAACCAGCAAAGTACGTGCGGGTAGACAGATGGACGGGATAGGACGTTGTGGTATCCCCAGCAAGCACGTCACAGTTAACTCCCCCCAGCGGTTGCAGTCATGTCATGTCATGCCCTTTTTTTATTCCTCTGCTTCCTCCCCAGCGGCGTCCGTCTCGGCGACCGTGCCGGTCATTCCGTCGTCCTCGTCCTCGAACGTGTGCAGGGGCACCTCGTACAGCCTGATGACGGGCTTGTTCGGGTCCTTGATCAAGACGTACTTCCTGTCCTTTGCGGGAGTCGCTTCCTCCTTGCCTTCTTCCTCCTCGTCGGCGGCGTCGGACATACTCCTGACGAGGTCGACGATGGTGCGGACGATACCCCATCCGTTGGAGAAGCCCAGGTTCATCTGGCTGGCGAATTCGCGCGGCTTGTAGCCGACGACGCCCAGGATGACGTGGTTCGCCGCGCTCTTCGGGTTGGCTCTCGACACGAAGCCGAGCTTCATCTGATCGGCTTTGGCGAGGATCGCCTGCGTCGTCCATCTCGCCAGTTTGCAGCTGTTGTTCTTCATCTCGGTGGCGACCACGGCACCCCGCTGGGAGGTGAGTTTTGTGCGCCAGTCCAGGGCGCCGCCGCTGCCTTGGGCCTTGTGGTCGAACTCGTTGAGTGCTTTGAGGGTGAGGAACTGATCCTCCCCGGAGATGTTGTTCTTGATGGCGGCGTCGAGTTCGGTCCGCACAATCAAGTTCAAAGGTTCTTCGTCCCGCTCCAGGGAGAGGTCGAAGCGGCGGTATTTGTACGCCTTTGAGGCCAGCGGGTCGGTCTCTTCGGAAGCGCTGTAGAACGGGTTGGGGTGAGGGAATTCGACTTTGCTGTTGGGGTTTTCGATCACGGTCTGGAAAGCAAAGTTGTGGTTGATCATGGTGGCTTCCATGGCGAGGTTGGACGGGGTGTTAATGCTGTCTGGCTTGACTCCGGTCTGTTGTTGGGATGGTGTGCTTGAGGTGTCTGCTTCGAGGGGTGCATCGGCAGCATTTTCATTGACCGTGACAAGGTCGATTGAACTGTCAGGTCGCTTGTCGAGGAAGATTTTATCACCGTGCTTCAAGATCACTATATCCCAGCTATACACGGATCGAGTCGCGCACATCAGCATGGAGAGGATATCTGAGGTGGCAAAGATGGTGGCTTCATCTTTCTCTGCCAACTCTTGGATGACCGGATCGGCAGAAGTGGTAACGTTGTAGGCGGCTCGTTCAAGGGACAGGAGTTTGCGTTCCGTGTTCTTCACGGGAGCTTTGTCGTAAGATCGGTCATAATAGTAAAGAAATCCGTAGCTGTCGATATCTTCTCCGTCAGGAGTCTCGAGGTTGAGTTTTGCAAGTCGATTAAAGTCAATCTCCTCCTTCATGATCCAGTCGGGACGGATGTTGACTGAAGCGTCACGGTTTCGCTGCGGCTTGTCGTAGTCTCGCCACCCGAATCGACGGCCCCTGCCACCTCGACCTCCCCTCTGATCGAAGAACTGCCCTTGTTGTTGACCTCCTGTGCGACCTTGGCCAACTCTTTGGAATGCTCCTCTTGCTCCACGCTGGGCGGCTCCTCGCTGACCTCGACCACGGAAGACTGTTACTCCGCCCCGACCAAAGCCCCGACCTTTTGCGGTCGTTCTGGTGTTGTCGACGACGGAGAAGGTGGCCTCATCTTCCGCAGCTTGTACAGCGAACAGCGAGGATGTACCGGCGCCATAGATTTGTTGGTCTAGATACACCTTGTTAGTTTTCACCCCCAAATTCTGGATGTAGAAATTCACCTCTGTAATTTCTTCCATACTGTCTGCCGCCTCGATCTCGACCTTCCTTGCCTTCTTGTGTCCAGTCGGCCATACGACCTAGTTTGTCACTTTTAGAGTATGGGGCATATGGCACGCCATCGAGGGTCGTGGTGGTGGAAAGCGCGGGACCCCATTCATCGTTGACGCTGATCGCACTGATTGTTTCCGCGAGACTTATTTCGGACATGTTGGACGCTGGACAGGGACCAGGAGTCAAGTGTCTAAATTTGTTCACAGACAAATGTTTCGAGGCGGCGCAGGCATAGAGAATAGTGGGGTGGAAATGCGAGCGCCAAGCAAGGAAATCTGTTCGTCGCACCGGATTCGGAGTCGGAATTATTGTGACGCCGCCCTGTAGGGAGTTTCATGGGTGGATCGACGACTGAGCATTTCAGCCAATAGCTGTGCTTAATCTTTGACTTCAATCTGTGCTGTTAAGGGCAGCGCAGTATGCCCAGCCTTGTGCATGACGAATTCCAACGGCGTTTACTGATCTCCGTGTCTCCTCAACTCACCTCTCTTACTGTCCTTGCTGGTCACCCGCCTTCTATATCCGGTCACTTTTTCAATCATTCGCAGAATAAGACGGGATACACCTCGACCGCAGCATGTTGAAACAATTTGTCGTTTCCAAAAGGTCGCTTGGAAAGCACCATGTCCCCCCCTAAAACAGAACGCACCTGGAGGAACGAGGCCACCCATTTATACGCATGATGAAGGCTACTCCCGTCAGGCTTGCTAGATCTCCGACCCAATGCAGAAAGACACCTTGATGCTGTGATATGCTGAGAGCACACGACCATGACCGACTTTACCGCCACGGGCTTTTCATTTTGCTTCGGGTCCCGAATTCCAGC